CATGTCCCATGAATCACTATTCGTGGGTTCCGTAACAGTGCTACAAATACCATCCCCAATGAACTGCACATCTCTTCAGAGAAGTGATGATACTGAGCAGGGAGCTTGAACTATAGACTCCTTTCTCACCTGTGATCGGGATGCCTCAACCAGTCTTAGAACTTTTTAGTATGTCCGTAAAGCATGGACAATCATGATATGGAATAAATCTAAAAGAAATAGCAAGAATTATCTATACAGCATATAATCATAACACAAATAAAAATGTCAAGATTTTAAGGATTAGTTACAATATATCTGCAGGACACTTTGTGGTCTCTGAGAGGCAAATACTGTAGTCTCAAAGAAAATACCCTGTGTCCTACTATAACACCATATACAAGAAGAGCACCTACACATTCAAGGCATAATTTTGTCAATGGGAGGAAGAAACATTTTTTAATCTATGAAAGAGATCATGACCACGTAGCTCACATGGCCTCTGTAGAGATACTGAAAACATGTATTGCAAAAACTTGGCTGTAAAAAATGTACCAGAGAAGGCAGATTTCCAAACCTAGATCCAGACAGCTGAAAGTCCTTGCAGTGCAGGCTTTTCTGGCTCTGATTTAGTAACCTAGAGTGAAGGAGCCAGAACACTGGTTTACATGCCCATATGCAGTTGTGCAAAAATACCTACAAGCTAAGGAGCCTCAGAGAAGCAGGACCACCTCCTCTCTGAGAGCCCGCAAGGGAATGGTTATGGAAAACCTGGGGTGTTTGAAGAAGACATGAACCAAAACTGAGCAAGACTGAAATTCTCTACATTTCTAGTGAGGTTTTGGGTACTGCCTAGAAAGTCATCACAAACTCTGAGATTTAAGGATGATTATGGAACTAAAAAAGTACTAATAACACTCCACTCCCACCATGGGCAGGGCTGCCATCTGTGTTCTGGGCAGGCACCAGGTGTTACCCATGGGGTCACAAACGCTGCTGGCGCAGGGCAGGAGCAAGGGCACACAGCACCATAGGTGTCCACCCTCCTCGCCAACGCCATCCGGTTTGGCTTAGCACCAGAACACACCCCTTCCCCAAACATAAGCTGCCCTTGGTAAAGCCCTTCTCAGCATGGAACATGGTAAAATGCAGAGTGGAAGACATTTAGTAGGATCTGCTGCCATCTTCAATCTTTCCTACTTTTTGTTTTACTGAGACTGAGAATAATGCAAGAAAGCTACTAAGGCAGGGAAAGGCATGATTGTGCTGAAATTAAAGGAAAAATAAAGCCAAAGCATTAAAAGCTCAGAAAAGTCATTAACAATACTGCAAATGTTTATCATTTTAAATATACTTGGGAGACTTTTCTTGCTGTGCTGGAGATCACCCAAGGCCTTGTGCACGCTGGCGGGGTAAGCTCTACTATTAAGCTATGCTCCTAGCCCCGGCAATTTAAATACATGCTGCTACAAATGCACTGGTAAAGTACAGAATGCTACTAAAATGAAGAACGTACTCCCCACACCTCTCCTGTGATCACAGCATACACTCCTTACAAGCACCTTAATTTAAACAAAGAGTGTGAACTGCACTTGAAATTAGGCAGTGGCAGGGACAATGTGGAAAAGAAGCTCACAGTGGAAGAGAAACCACTGAGCCTCTGCAACCTTTCTGAAGCCACTAGCATGGGCTTTCCCAACCCTCCACCACCCCGAGAAAGAAAAACCTGCTTTTCCTCCCAGTTAAGGAAGGCTGCCAGTTCCAAGGCAGCTCCTCTCCTCCCTCCCAGTGCCTGCATGCCTGCAGCTGCCCTTGCTCAAGGTGGGGAAGATGGCCCAGAGCTGATGTGGACGGCACCTGGCAGCTGAGTGCGTAGGAGTGCCAGAAAGCCGTGCAGCCCCAGGCAGGAGAGGTGGAAAGCCAGCCCGGCTCCCCCTCATCAGTACATCTGCCTGGCAAGCTGGCCAACCCATAGGGCTGCGAAGGCCCTGAGAAGTCATCCTGTGCACACCAGGACCCCCGGAACACAAGCCCTGCCTTTCCCAAGGAGCGGGGACAGCAGCAGGCAGGGGAGGGGAGGCAATATCACCACACAGGCCAGTCTGAAATGCGCAGCTGTCAGCAGGGAAAAGGCAGCTCCACTAATGAACGGCCCTGTAAATACAGATATTTCAGCTTCTTTCCTTCCGTTTAGACTTTTTCTCCTTTTTTTTTGTGATGAGAGAAAAGGGGATCCTCCCAGGCAGGAAGAGATCCCCATGTGAGGTGCGAGGACGGAGGCTTCGCAAGCCAGGCTCCCAGCTCTGAGCCATCTTAGTGACCTCACTGAGCAAAGTATGTCCAGTCACGCAGTGCAGAGCGAAGGCACAGAAACAAGCGCATGTTGAACCCAGCGGCTCCTGCAGCACCGCCGGCCCCCACACTCAGTTCTCAGGAGGACTGAGCTCACGACCTTTTCTTGTTTTTTAAAGGAAACGACTGTGGTGGGTTAGGGGGAAAATCAGATCTTGTTTGGAAACTTGTTTTGTGAGTACTTTTGGCCTCACATCGTTTTTATTTTCATCACCACGTTTTCTCATATTTAGGGTTGTGAAAGGTTTTGTTTTGGCCCTGGGTCGGTGAAAGGGGACTGCACTGCAAGGCTGAAGGCCTCTGCTTGGGCTCACTGGCCTCAGGCCTACCAGCCTTGAGAGAGACCAAGAATAACCTTCCAGATGCTCACGGGTGCTCTGGGGAGTTACAAAAAGGAAAAGGGAAAAAAATACACAAACCCAACAACTAGGAGAGGCTGTGAGGCCATCGAGCAATTTGCTGCTGAACAGCATGGTCACCAGATGCCGCAAATGCTTCCCAACAGTGCATTAAAAAGCCATGCTCTCATTGTCTGCACCATTTCTGTTGGAGGATGACTTTCTTCCTTCCCTCCTGGAATGGGCCAAACCTTTGATCCTTACCAAACAGGGAGGAAACAAAATCACACTTTTCATTTGCTAAAGATCATGACAGAGTGGCTCCAACAAAACGGTCCTCAGGTCGGCGCACACTGCTTCTGTGAGCCACTGCTCATCACGCCACGTCGTGCCCCTCATATTTTCATCACAATCGGGGAGATGAATGAAATCCTTAGTAACAAACAGAAACGACACGACTGGCTGGAGGGCACAGAAAATACGACTTTGTGCTTGGGAAGGAGCCACTACTTGGCCACGCACACACCTCTGCTTAGTCTCTGTGGTGTTAAGTGAAGTGCCTCCTCAGAGTCCCCCAGGACAGACTGACACTGGCCTCGCTACACCCAAGAGACCTCGTTTCTGCACTCTGTTAGTCGCTGACAGTCCTAAGCTTAGGTGCCCCGTGACTGCAACCATGATTCACAATTGCATTTCATTTGTAGCAAGCACATATTCTGAGATCCATGTGGGAAAAAATAACGTGCATACATATAAAAAATATTTTTTTTTTTGTTTTTTTTTTTGTTTTTTTTTTGGCTCCAAATGCCTTCAGGGCAGGTTTGGCTGGCTTGAGTTGTGGGGATCGAACCACAGCAACCTGAGCCTGACTGCTTTGTTGAAGCAGCCACTTAAAGAACTGATCTAAGGGGCAAGCCCCTTAGGAAGAAATATTTGAGATGAAAGGTGCTGCGAGGCACTCTGTCTCTCTCTCTCTCTCACACACACACTCTCACTCTCAAGCTTGCACTTTACTGGGAATAGAAACACGGCAGAGGGCCCCTCATGTCTAGACCAGTTTAATAGTCATCTCTGTTCAGAGCAATGATTTCTAATCGTAAGATTTGTGACACTCTTGGGTGTTTCCAGATATCTTGAGGCACTGTAAAATTCCTTCCACAAAATGCCAAGTAAAATAACTTAAATTCATTTAAAATATGTCACACATGCTTGGTGGCAAGGGAAGCTGTCCTGGAAGCAAGAGAACAGTTGTTAAATGTTTCAAAAACTTGACCCCTGTCAGTTATATTTTAGTCTAAACCAATTTATGAAGAGATATAATAAATACAGAAAAGTAAAGCAAGATGCCATGAATGCAGGCGCGCTTCTGTGGCTGGAGATGGCAGCTAAGGAGGTGGTTCACTTGGGACACTGTTTTAGTGCAGTCTTTTTTGACTTTACTACTGACAACTGAATTAACCCTGCTACGACACCCCATGGCTGGCAGGACAAGTATAACGCAATTTTACTAGCTTTGCTCTTAGCGTCAGACTTAAAACTAATGAACTGAGACCTTGATGCTAAGGTGGGGTTCCATGTCATTGTTCTGTGATAACTAGGTCTTAACTTCCCGGTCACTAAGAGGCTACTAACACACTGCTATGGGTTTGCCACGGGGGAGGTTTTTTTTTTTTTTTTTTGTCTTTGTGACACAGATTCACTAAGCAGTTCAGGCTGGCCTTAAGCTCACGGACATCCTCCTGTCTCAGCTTCCCAAGTGCTGAAATTCTAAGTGTGTGCTGCTACGCCTGGCTGCCACTGGGGAGTTTATAACCATTATTACTCTTAACTACAGCTTCCAAATCTCTAATAAAATATTTCCTGATGGGTTATGGCCTCAGGCTTTACAGCTCCTTTTACTCAGAACACTGACTTTTGGTATGTGATGGATCTGATGTAGATTTCAAGTCTCTCTGTCACTTACTCAATCACACACACACACACACTCACTCACTCACTGTCAAGAGACAAGGCAGAAAAAAATCACTCATTTTTTTCACTCCATAAGCTGACCTTTGCTACCTGGAGAACTCAATTTCACTGTTCACTTTCTATTCTTTATATCATTGCCTATTTAAATTTATACTCATACTTTATATACCAGAGTAAGTACCTCACTAAAGAATTTACATCTAACTCTTGTTAACAAGGGCTGGATATAAATTGTTACTGCTTTGCAAGAAGACAAAAAGGCTCCTTTACACTATGCTCTGTACCGCATTTCAAAACTTGCCTGAAGGATCACAGTTCTGAAAGTTAGGAGTAGTAAGAGGAGAAAGCAAATACACTTGCCTTATTCGTAGCAGTAGCACTGGATCCAGGGACCACAGGCACATTTGTCACCTGAACTGAAAGATAATTATTATCTAGCAGTGGCCAGGCCCCTTCCACTTTGCATGTTTGAAAGTGATCCTTGAAAGTCCTCAGGTGAGGGTCTCCAAACAAGCCACAGAAAAGGTAACTTGGAGGGGTGTTTGCCCCGCCCCTGTGTTCTCTGGCTCCGGCAGGGCTGTGATAGCTACAAGGGTCATGAGTCACTTCAGGGTTGGTAGAGGATGTGGGTCCATCTTTGGAGCAGTTCCTCTGGCTCATGAGGTCACTGATCCCCAAAACAGCAGAATGGTACACCAGGTTGCCACGGCAGGCCTTCGAGGTTCGCTGGGTGCAGCCAGCATAGGCCCGCAGAGCCTTGCAGAACTCAGAGTCAAAGCCGTCAATGGCAGAGTTCAGGTGTGAAGTCAGGGCCACGAAGTCTGTGGTGCATTTCTGGATTCGACACTGGGCAGGCTGTTGGCAGTCACCTATGGGAAGGAAGACAAGAGCAAACACATAAACGCTTCAGGACTTCCGGGGTTAAGTGAAGTAAGGACATGTGCCTCTGGGCCCTGCTGGCTCTACTTCATACACTCCCATGTTAAGGCTTCAGAAACGGCTGCACTGTGCTCCCGGATGTTTCTCAAATTAAGCCACTAGGAAGACACACTTTGCCACTGGTTAACTTACAACTTCAAAGCATGAGCTACTGTGACTGAACATGGCAAGATTACAAGGAATAACAAGTGAAATATTTTATCAAGGTTGCCATTTGGTTATAGATTTTAAGAAAGATTCTTCAGCTCTAAAGCAAAGCCAAAGATATGAACCTTGTTTTCATTTTGCAAACTGCATGAGTAATTTGTTTTGGAAAGCACTGTGAGAGGAGCACTGTGCACAAAACATGATTCAATCTTCCATCCTGAGGCAGGGGTAAAATCCTAAATTACACCATGATTAGTGGAAACACCTTTACCTGAGTTTAGCATGACCACGGGGTAACAGTATCGTGAAATCATCTAGGGGCTAAGTTATTCTACCCTTCCTTAGGCATGTTGCTAATAAGCTGTACACAAACAAAAACAAGGTACTGGTTTCTACAAAATTTAGAAGCTGTTAATGTACCCGACCAAGCAGTGAGTTTACTTTTTCTGCTGCCCTAAGGATCCGAGTTCTCAAAGACTGGAAAGGCAAGGACACCAAACAAAAAGGTGCACAACGCTGAAAGTGCTGCAGAGACAGATGATCTGGGCCATGTTTTTTTTTCAGAAAGAAAATCAGAACTATAAAGCATAGAATTCCTTAGAAGACATAAAATCTTACTTTCTCCCCAAACCAACAATTCCTTGAAATCCGATGATTTAAGCTAAACAAAGCTAAAATGAAGTAACAAAAACTCAAGTATTAGTGCCTGCATTTAAAACAAAACTTTCAAATTATATATTTTTTTTTATTTTCAAAGTTTTATTGATAAACATATAGCAATGAGACAGTTTCAAATCAAATCGAAAGTACAGTTTCAACAAATAATACACTGCATACATTCTTCTCAGTGGTTAATTGCTGTACAAGATGCAGACTTGTGATCCTACTTACAAACACCATTAGAAAAAATCATTCTATTCATTAAGAGAATGCAACTATATATCTATCCCAACCACTTTGAATACACAGATACAAAATGGACATTCATAGTTATACCCCAATTTTTTTAAGTTCTGTTGTTGAATATTATAGGTGTGTAAACTCAGCAAAATATTCTAAAAGAGTACAGAAGCCCATAATAGCATTGGGTCTTCTGTTTAACTGGCAATGTCAGAAATTATTGACCTGAGTCCCCCACAGCTCAACATAACAACATGGCTTTACTTCCTATATTTCATCTTCATACTTTTCTACTGGATGGTTAAGACCAAGGTAAAGTTTCAAATTATATTTTTGCTATTAGCTTCTCAAAAGACAATTCACAAAGTCTGTCAAAGCAGATGTGCGTGCACACACACACCCCTGGTAGGAACTGGCAACACTAGGTTAGTTACGTGTGCAAGTCAACTTAATACTCTGTTCTACAGCACAGAAATAAAAGACTTGCTGAAAGGAGAAATGCTCTTACTAGCACTCTAATTCTGCAGAAGTGAGCTGTGGCACACCTTCCTGCAGAAGCTCTCTGTGGACAGTGGAGGAGGTCCCATCCTCTTTAGTCTCAGGATTCCTCTCGGGAAACCAAGAAGCTGTCCTAACATGAGCTTTGTAATGACCTTTTCAGGTTGTCTAATTTGTACTCAGCCCCACCCCCTGACTAATTTTGAGACAAGGTCTCATTAAAGCCACTCAACTAGATGCTGTTGTCTCAGCTTCCCAGGGGGCTGGGATTACAGGTAGAAGTTACCATATCTAGCTAATTATTCTTAAATTATGTCAACATGTGGGCATAACAAGTTTTACGAAAATATAAAGAATTACTACTTTATGTTGTTATGCTGAGCTGTGGGGGACTCAGGTCAATAACTTCTGACATTGCCAGTTAAACAGAAGACCCAATGCTATTATGGTCTACTGGACTCTTTTAGAATATTTTGCTGAGTTTACACACCTATAATATTCAATAACGGAACTTAGAAAAAATGGGGTATACTGATGAATGTTCATTTTGTATCTGTGTATTCAAAGTGGTTAGGATAGATATATAGTTGCATTCTCTTAACGAACAGAATGATTTGTTCTAATGGTGTTTGTAAATAGGATCTCAAGTCCGCATCTTATACAACAATTAACCACTAAGAAGAATATATGCAGTGTATTATTTTTTGAAACTGTACTTCCAATTTGATTTGAAACTCTCATTGCTGTTTATCAATAAAATTTTGAAAAAAAAAGAATTACTACTTCATCTTATAAAGACACAGATATTAATCCTATTATTCTTTTAGAAAGATAGTATCATATTTTTAGTGTTAAAACTGCTTTTAAATGTGAATTAAAATAGCCTGCAATCGGTGACTTTACTCAGGAGAGAAAGAGTGGGAGGCCAACAACCCCTAATGACAGCTTGTTACCACTTAAATTTCAGAGACTAGAAGAGGAAAGATACTGTAGGCTACACTATATATTCACTTTAACCTGAATAATGAGAACATTAAAAATTACTTTAGTGTTTTGGTGCTAGATTTATTGCAGCCACTAAATCACATTTTAAAAAAACCCACAAAATCATCCTCATGTGTTTGACCTACTTTATGCTTGTTCAGCCAAGAGTTGATAAAAGCTACTCCAATATTTATAAGGTTGTGTTCTCCAAAATAAGTCAAGTAATTTTCAGTTGTTTTACAGCAAAACAAAACAAAACAAATAAACACAAGCAAAATTCCAAAAGGCCTTAAGGCCATTTTCCAGATAAGGAAATCAAAGCCAAGAGCTATCAGAGGCCGCCTACGCGCGGCACCTTACCCAGGACACAGTGACTTTCCTGCAGTCTTCCCTTCCGCTGCAGGCCCTGTGCAGTTCTTAGACTACAAATAAATGACAGCACAAGAACTTTCCGCTAAACTTGAAGTGCCTAGTTGTTCTTTTTATGGTCTATAAAAATCCACCCAAGCATACATTTACTAATAATTATTTCAAATAGTCATAAAGTATCAAAAGTAAGAACAGCACGGCAATGCAGACACAACTGCTCAGGGGGGAGGTAAGCAAAATGTAGACTCCTAGCCTTCTCCCTTCCTTCCCCTCACCTTCCCCCCACTGTTCCATTTTCATAGCAGGTACATGCTGACTGCTTTGAGAAATCAGCCCTAAAACAAAAGAGTTCTTAGGCTTCTGAAGGGGCTTCTAAGAGCCTTTTGCTAGAAGATGATGGGGGAGGGCGAACTAGAGAGAAACTGCTTTTAGGTCAGCAATTTCAGCTCCATGGTGGGTTTGTGTGTGACAACTAATTTGCAGCACACACCCCAAAGAACCAAGGCTTCCTGAATTTATTGACAATAAATACTTTGCCTGTTACAGGTGGTAAAGTTAAGTCTGTCAAAGCACCAAGACAACGCAGGGCAGAAGCCATTTCAAGGATGTAGCCAAGAAGGCCACGCATTATGTGAGTGAGCAAGGGACTCCATAACACATAGCTATACAAACTGCAGAGGTGTGCCTAAAATATCCCCGCCAGGGAAAATATGTATGTATACATAAACATACAAAAGCCATTTCCCAAGGGAAGAATTAAAAATCTGCAGTTACAGAGCTCTCTATTTTTAGGGCCAGATAATCTGTAACAGGTATGACAGTATTTTTATGCCAGTTATTGAAAGCGTGGAAGGATTTGTGAATCTAGAGCTTTCACTTCATCATTTTTTAATTGACCAGGCATGAAGGCCTCACATTCAACAGTTTCCTCAACACTGGGCCTACATGTGCGACCTGCAGCACAATTATGGGTTTATAATACAAGAAACAAGATATGCTGAAGCTGAATTGAGGCAAGTGAGGGCCATATGGGGTGCTGAGGCAAACGATATGGATCCAGACACAAAACATATGCTAGTCCATCTGCACAAAGCACTCGTGAGGCTCACCTCTCTAGGAAACAACCCCTGCACTTCCCTAGCACCACTCTTCAAAGCAGCCTCTCAAAAGAAGGCCTCTTCTCCTTTAGATCAATTGCTCCACTCCAACAAGTGGTCCCCAGAAATCACACTCCACAGCACCACCGCGTCACACCTCACGGTGACAGGTGACATTAGCATGGAGACAAATATCCAGAGGAGTATCACGTTCTACATTCTTAAAGTAGTGCAGCTTGGTTTCTGCAATCTTTAAACCAGGTTCTTATGCTTTGCATGGGCCAGCAAAGAAATACTCAGGAGCCACATTCCAATCTTGTCACGGGACCCTATGGCAGCTCTGAGGAAACAATATCCAACCAGCCAAGCACTTAGACAATTGCTTGACTCAAGAAAGACACTTTCCACTACATCCTTTAGTGTGTGAGGAAGAATGTTCCCCTCAACTGATCGTGGATTGATATTTCTGGGGTACTAAAGCTACTAACTTAAACCTCTAATCATTTTCAAACTTACGACTACACTTCTTGTCTGTTTACCCAAGTGACAATGGTAGATGTAGCTATTTATCAGTGCAGTCAGCACTAAATTAAGTCATCTCCTCAAATGCCACATTTTCCCTCCATAAAATGCTACCTCCATCTTACGCAGCTAGCAGGACCTAGTATTAACCACTAAGTGGAAACCGTAAAGTTCTGGATCTTCCAGCTCAGCGTCCGGTGACTGCTATCGGGTAAACACAACAGTGCCTCAAGTTAGGGGGGGAAAAAAAGTCGCCTAACGCTCCCTCTGTTCTCACGCTGCGGGATTCCCTTTTCCCATTTTGCATTAAAGAAACATTCCTCCTCTGGGTAAGCTTCTAAAACTCAGTGATGATTCATTTGAGAGAAAAATCATGGATTGCAACGAACTAGTTTTTAAAGAAAGAAAGCGGCCTGGCAGCTGGGCCGCCCGATCTGTCAACCAAGCCCGCAGATCCGGCTCACTCGCGTCCAGTTACTGCGAGCTGAGCCCCAGGTTAACACCCAGGCGCAAGCCTTTCCCGGGTGCGACGCCCCAGCCCCGGGGAAGCAGCGGGGCTGCGGCTCCGAGAGGCGGCAGCGGGAAGCCGACCCGCCGCGCCGCCTCCCAGCCAACACCGAGGCTGAGCGCAATAAAGCATCCGGAACATTTGTCTCCGGAGCGCAGCCCCCGCCCGGTAATCTTTGATACACGGCCGCGGTGGGGAACGGTATCAACGGTCCGCCGCGAGGGCCGGGCCAGGCCGGGCGGGGCGGGGCGGGGCGGGGCGAGGCGAGGC